GGACATTAGCAAGTATACATTGTCTGATAACATCTTTGTATATGGGTTGTGTGTGTATATAAATATACAAATAACTCCAATGTTATTGTTAACATTTCATACCTGTTAGCTATGGGAACTTTTAAAATATATGTGTACATGCTATTGTCCATTCCATAAATGTTTTTGTATGGGAATTGTGTATCAATAAACATGGTTCATATCTTTAAATCTCGTGCAATTTGATTATGATGGGTTAACGATTTCGTGATATTATATGATAAAAATTAGACTTAGTATCCATGGTTATGACATCCACCATCCAGGATCGAGCATGCGAGAAAGGTGTTGAAGTGGGTAACGCATCAAAAAACGTGGCGGAAGCAAGAGTAAGATATCAAGCCGAAGATGGCCGTATCACTAAGAAGGTAACTAGTAAACTGTTATAATTATGTTTTTGTTTTGAGTGATATTAACGTGATCTATTGTACTTCCATATATGGGATGTGTGTATATTGTTTATCACAAAACACGTTCACCAAATTCTTCTGAGTTAGAACGTGCAAAATTCAAAAACCGGAGAATCTTAAAACCCATCATGTAGCTAGTATGAACAGTATATGTTTATTATGTAAGTAGTAAATAACTGATTTCTTCCTGTTGTATACTGTGTATTATATTTACATAGTATGAACAATATATGTTCATTATATGTATTGAATATAAAAATGGACTGTTGTGTTATATCGCGGGTACGAACAGTAGTTGTTCATTACATGATCATCGTTTTTTCTGTCCTAGTGTTCATTATATGGTGTATAGGTGGCATGAAAAGCAACTGTTCGTTATGTATACTAAAAATAAAAACAGCAGGTACTGTATGAACATATAACATCAATATGTGTTATATAACGAGTATGAACAGTAACTATTCAATACAGGCTCAACTTTATTTCTGTCCTAGTGTTCGTTATATGGAGTTGAGATAACATGAGAAGCTACTGTTCATTATGTATACTAAAAATAGAAGGATCAGGTACTATATGAACATATAACGTCAATATGTATTTCCATAGTTCATCTCAAAATCTCTGGTGTCAATTTGTGTTTCCATAGTTCATCTCAAGCTGCTAACTATTTGATAATCTATTGCTGTGTGTTCTGCATCCAAACTGCAGACACATTTGCCAGGACATATATGGGTTGGTTGGTTGGTTTGCGAAGTCATGGGAGAGGCAGGCTAAGTGAACTAATATACTGGTTTTACTACACAATCTTATAAATCAAGCACGGAACACTTTCAAAATCTCCCCTGTCTATAAGGTGAACGAGCATTTAAACATGAATGACAAATAGCTTGCATTGAAAAGTCAAGTATGATGGTCAAAAAAGTCGAATCACTTGTTTGAAAGGAACTGATCTTCAATTCTTTCTGCTTTTGTTTCATAGAAATTAAGCAATGCATTGCCCTGCTGAATCTTCCGTTCCACAGTTTGTACATCCAGGAGAAGAGAATCCTGCAGTTCCCTTGCATGCACTCCATCCAATACAAGCTGAAACAAGATGACATAGTCATATAGTGAATACGTACAGTGAATACTTTTAAAATAAATAATATCAAAATATGATTTGGAAGAATAGGTTGTCCAAAGATTTTGATGTCCTGCTTGGAGTTCAATATATTCACTATTCAGGAGGTAATATATGAAACCAAATAGTTATATGAAAAGGAACAACTTAGATATTGCAGGCAATACCAAAACACAAGCATAAATAAATATCACAATCGAAATCCAATAGACAAAAGGCTAAGCACAAATCTAACTTAAATCTGTTTCACAACAGAAGCACCTGTCAATTTTATAAAACAAAAAACGGGTGAATCTAGGAATGAAACATACTTAATTATGTCTTACTGTAATTTGATTGAAAAAATAGAAGTAGTTACCTTAATGTTACAGTCATCTCTCTGTTATTCATATATATGTTTTAATACACATTGCATATATTGTTTTTATTATCGTATTTTGGTTGTTTTTGCCAAGGAATGCATGAGGGTGATGCGGAAAAAAATTGATGATCTTTATTTGGGAAGAGTGGAGGCGGACTTGATGATGGATTCGTTCATTGAACGTTTCCCTGGTGATGCTGATTTTGATGAATTCAAGACAAAATTAGCTTCTTTGTTTAAAGGTAGCAAGTGGGATGCACCCCCTGCTACGAACCAAGTCCATGACCTCCCTATTATTGAGGTAACACCTCCTAAGATGTCAACCATTCCTGATCAAGATTTGCTTTCACCCTTGTCTCAATTCTAGACGAGCCCTTCGGTGATTGCGGAGGTTGATAGGGCATCCAATGAGAAAATGATACAGATAGCAAAGGAAAATAGGAGATTTACTCGCTCTGTCGAAAGGGAGACGGTCGGGATTCCGTCATTACAAGTACAGAGGGAGAAAGTTGGGATGTTACGGAGTAGAAGTGGTGAGCAGAATGAGTTTTGAAAAAGTAAGATATGTAAGCGAGCGGAAAGCAGTGACAATAAAATTGATTTGTATGGAGGTATCGAGCCACCATCATTTGATTTGGGGATTAGTCCATCGGGTTCACTTGTAGTTCCTGTCGGGGATGCGTTGACTACATCGTCAATGCAGAAGGCTGCGCGGCCGACGTTGTCGAAGAGGGATCCGAAGCTGAGTTTCAAGCTTCGTTCACCTTATGTTACACGTGCTGTTACATTCGACGTAACAAGTGATGAGCGGAAGTTACATGATTGGATTATGAGGGGGATTGGCGGAATACTGTAAGTTGTAATTTAACGTTTCTTATTTAATTTAAAGTATTCTTTTATGTAAATATATGAGTTCTATGTGTTCAATTATTTAATGTTTTAATGTTAATACACAGGGAACCTGTTTTCGTGACCACATACGGAAGAACAATAACACGGCAGGCGTTGCAATCTCTTGCATCCCAGTCCGTAGTATGCCGAGATTATGTTGGACGGGTGGTCGACGGTACTAAACCGGGATGAAAGATTGCGGAGCAATCAATCCCCCAGACGTTACTTCTTTACGACAAGCGTTTCGGTAACATCATTCAACATACACCTTTTTTTGTCATACCATTATATAATATCCATTCTCTTCAATAGAACTTATGGATTTGTTATGGGTGCAGATGGATCTGACCATGAGGGACCAGACTTTGGACATTCACCGGAGATATGAAACTTTCAAAAACAACCTGTCAAGTTGCACAAACAATGATAGGGAGCTCGTTAGTATGCGCAACGTTGACATGGTACGTATACAACATTTGTTGGTAATATTATCGTAAAATAAATTAAAGGTACATTGAAATTATAAACGATAGCTTACGTATTTATAATTCCAGGTATTCTTCCCGGTTGTGGAAGAATCATTCTATTACATTGTTGTGTTTGATCTAAAATGACCCTCAATCGTTATCATTGACTCAAAGGATCGCGATGGCAATGTTGATGATATATACGGTCCTAGTCCGGTAATTTTGGTAAGTTACCAGTATTAGTTATCGCATTCTACATGTTTCATGAGTACCATATTTATCTTGTCAAATTTATTATTTATTCAGCAAGACATGGTGATACTTCACCTTTTGAGAGAGGGCCATGATGCGGGGAAGGTTTATGCTGAGATGGATCAAGAGCGAATAAGGACAAGGTGGCAGTCAAATGAGAGCTCAGTTGATTAGGGTGTAATGATGATGCGACATAAGGAGACCTATTTTGGAGGCGATTGAGGGAAATGGGAATGCGGTCTTTACAAAGAGAGTACTAAACAAAAAAAACAGTTGAAGGATCTACGAACAAAGTATTGTTCGAAGATCCTATTGAGTGACGAAAACATACAAAAGGCATCAATCATAAAGGAAGTGGAAAGATTCATTGCGATGGAGACGTCATTTAATTCGAATAAGACACGTGGGGCTACCCGAATCGGTCGGGGGAAGATGTAGACGGCACATGTAGATGGATTTCTCAATGCTTTTTGAATCTTTCGTATTTACCTTATTTATAGTACACTATATGATGCTTCTGATAGTGCCTTCGGTGTTATCGCTACATCGCGTACATCTTATGGTGTTTTTGTTTTTTTGGTATCTCAAATTATGATAAACACTATTTCTACGTTTTAGTTACTCGGTGAAATGATATATGAATAGTTGGAATCAGGTTGATAATAGGGACTAAATTGATTCTTTTAGCATTGCACTTACTTAAAGTGATCCTGCTTGTTTTTTTTTTTTTTTTGTATTTCATGAGCTGCATAGTTTTCTTGGTACCATGCTTTTTTCTATGGGTTTTTGCATGTGTACTACTATCTGATTGTTCTCGTACGCTGCATTTGTTACATGGAATTTATTGGATAGGGCAAAAACTTTTCATTCCATGTATATAACTATTATATGATTTATAGATACGTTAGTGGGCAATATTTTCTCTTGTTACAATAATTGTTATTATAGTCTTTCAGTTACTGGACGCAACTGAATTGTAGTTGCCTTTGGTTAGGATATCCATATTTATGTTCGTGCTATAAATAATGATTGTTAAATTATTACAATGTTTCATTTTGAAATCTGACAATGGCTTAATTTTCAACAATTCATGCAGCAAACAATCATCGGGATCCTGGCGTCAAGTCCGTGAAATTGCATGTTGAAGTTGCAGTGGAACTGCAATAGCGCAACACTGCTGTACGGGTCTCCACGTTGAATACGAAATTGACTAAAGAAAAACTTTATAACTTCCAGGTACTATTCCAACTTGATCGCATACATAATGCATTAGTTCTTAAAATAATCACATATCTATGATAGACCAATACGTAATGCCTAACCTTAATAATGCACAGTTTCGTGTTTATGCTACGAAATAGAGCATTGTTAGTTTGTTGTTGCAATGGATAGCTGTTGTGATAATATATAATTAGGCCATGACACAAAAATCTCCCTCACGTGGAATTTGCATTTCTAAATCATATGGCATCGACAGCATAGATTTTTGCAACATTCAAATGAGGATGTTGTTTGTTAACTGATCCAAATCTAGAGATTCCTACATCATGCATGCTACAATGAACATAGGCTACTTTCTCCATGAAAATGAAGGCACTATCAACAACATCAACTGCTATATACCATAAATATTATAATTCAATTCTCATATGTTTAACCAACTCTATTAATAAGATAAGGACCATCAAAAACCTTCAAGTTCCTAACAAGATAATGTTTGTGCCAAGTATGTGATAATCGTATCAAAAAACATACCCCGAAAATGTCGAACGAACAATACGTCAGCAAATTATAACAAAACGATAACACTCCTAACTACTTGAATGTAACTAATCTACCAATTCTGGGTAATTACGTGAGTCATGTCCACTACGTTGTCCATATGTTGCACATCTTCGTTTTGATTTTTTGCTATTAGTCTGGATTTTTCAGATACACTTACCAGTCTTTTACTAGTCCCGCATCCCTTGTTCCTAATGCCAGAAGATGTTAGAATATCCACCTCATCCAGTATTGAAACACCTAGATGTTCCCTAATTGCATCCATCCTCTGTTGAGATGGGTCTTCATATGGAACTTCCTTCGCTATATCAACCATAAATGTGTCGAGATTTCTCTCCAGTCTAGCCAATATAGACTTATCATTCTGGGCGATGCTTATGATCTCGTCAACCTTTGAATATACATCAATAATGCACTTTTTTTTTCGGCATCAACCTCGCCGTAACGAACCCTTGCAGATTGTATCTGTACTGGAACTGTCTGTCGTTTCCATCGCCGTAACACATATCTATCCGGTATGAATTCAACTTCATCGTTTATCAATACCTTGAACGCATGACGACAAAGATAACCATTACGCGTGAATAGGTTGCACTCGCATTCGACGGTATTTGTTGAGTAATTACGGTTCACCTAGAGTACAAAGGTTTGCAAACAACCACAATCAAACAAAAACTTCGAAAACATAAATAAAATTGTTGTGCGGATTAGGAATATTATACCAGATATGTGATGTTCTCAGATGATTTCTTCGTCTTGTGGCTTATCACGAATGTCTTTAAGACATCCTGGCATTCGACATTCTCTATAGCACAACACCATACAGCCTTCTTTATCTCCTTTTGTATGTCAAAAAACACATTCCGACTGTATATTCTTGATGCATAACTTTCTAAACGCAACGGAGTAACAAATTTTGGATTAGCGGTTCTCGTTACTGTCTCATGAACAGATTGTCTGTATCTTTGCTTCTCTATAGCTACGTCGTAATTATTAAGGATTTGAACCAAATTAAACCAGTACGATTCGTATATATTAATATATGAATTCGAACTCTCGGATCTTGAGGTTGTTTTCATTAGACCAGACATTGGAGTGTCCTTGTAAAAGGCAGGAATCCACGAGTGTCGAATTGCATACATATCTGTGAACCAAGTATCACCCCCCAGATTGTATTGCTCGATCATCTCATGCCAACGACGCTCAAACTCCGCTGGTCCAATATGTATGTTCCATACGATCTTGTTGATTACTTTATTAAAATTAGGATCTTGATTTAGTGCGACACTGACCTGCGTGTATATGGCAACCATTAATGAAGCAAATTAAACATAAACATCATTTAAAATTACATAGCATTACATACATACAACTTACCTTTGAAGGCACTTTCTTCATAATGTTCCACATACAGAGTCTGTGTTTGGCTTCCGTAAACACCATCGGGATAGCTTGCTTCATTGCAGAACATTGGTCTGTAATGACGAAAACTGGTTGCTTCTCATGACATTTTATGAAAGCCTTTAAAACCCATGTAAAGTTCTCGATTGTCTCGCCACTGATTAGAGATTTAGAGCGGACCCGACGACAACGGAAGCCTTGTGATTGTCAACGGCCCAAAAAGGCACGAAAATCATGGCATGCCTGCAACACAAATTAGCGAATTAGTTTTACCTATTTATTCCCACGTCATGATTCCATAAAAATATAATGTGATAACCAGATCCTGGTTATTACCCAAGGTAAATTTATACGTGATTATCTGATTTAATAATTACGTGATAACATGATAATTGGTACATGCCGGTTTGAAAATTTGTGAATTAATTGGTTATGTATATATATATATATATATATATATAAATATGTGCATTCACTAGGAAGTCATATTTTGTATGTGTAAGTACATAAATATAATATATATATTTATGTGGTTAAAATGAGGGCATGTATTATGCATACGTGTAGGTATGCATGTGTATGTATGGATATGTATGTATGCATATGTATGTATGGTATATGTGTGTGGGAAAAGGGTTAGCCGACTTTCCCTTTTGGGAAAGTATAAAAAGGGGCTTCACCCCTACAATTTGGTTTCTTACCATTTTGAGAGTTGAGAGGTTTAGAAGTGTTGTCCGGCTTAGCAAAAGAAGTGTTTTCAAGAGGTGATTTCTA